ATGATATATTTGATTTTATAATCAAATATTTGATTAACAAAAGTATGCTTGTCTTGTTGTGTTGGTTGGGGACATTACACTAATCTCATTTTGTTTTTGTCCCTAAGCAATTTCCTAGCATTTTCTTAATACATTGTATTATATATAATGTGAGTATCCCTCCCCATTTTAGGTGTGTAATTTTCGGCCATCACAAAGAAGAGAGAAGAAAATTATATTTTGTGTTCAAAGTTATTTTTCTAAAGTGTTAGAAATATACACAAAATATTATAAACAAATATTTATAAGATAAATATTTTACTATATATTTATTACTCCCAAAGTAGTATTATTATAGTTTTTACTATCCTATATTAAACTTGCTAGCACAAGTTTAATCTTGGACTCCGGAGCAAGTTCGTGTGGATACGTTGGAGGCTTCATACGTTTGGCGCTACGTTCATCTCCTCAAAACCATCCCCGACCGTTCCTCCATTCTCCGTTTTCACCGTTAAGGTAAATTTCTTACTATAGCTAGTAATTTACGTAAGTTGTTCTTGGGTGGAATCGAGTTTTGGACTATAAATTTTGTTTTCGCTGCGTTATCCAAGCCTCGTTTCCCAACAATTGGCACTCCAAATAAAATAGTTTTGACTATGTGATAGAATTTAGGATGGGGTAGTGATAACAGGATTAGGCAATAAGACACTTGGGTTGAACCACATTAAAAGATTGAATCCAATTGATTAGTTCGTTCAACTCAAGAGCTTATATACCGATTATTTTGCTCATGAACTTTCGATGTGGGATGACACTCTAACACTCCCCTTCAAGTGGACAAATGGACCATTTTGAATCTAACCGTTTGACTACTTGCAAATAAACTCTCATTCTTTTGAATTTTTTTTGAGCGCCAACACCTAAAGGACCACAACACTTTCAGTCGAGCAATCGTGTTAAATGGGTCACAGGCCATTGGGTACATACTCTATGCTGACAACTGGGCTAAAGACTAACGGGCCGCTAGGAATGAACGTCTAGACGGACACCTTGACAAACGAGGTGGGCCAAAACCTGCTCCGATTCCATGATAGAATTTAGGATGGGGTAGTGATAACAGGATTGGGCAATAAGACACTTGGGTTGAACCGCATTAAAAGATTGAATCCAATCGATTAATTAATTCAACTCAAAGACTTATATACCGATTATTTTGCTCATGAACTTCTGACGTGGGATGACACTCTAACACTATGACTAAACAAAAACCTTTTAAAGACAAAAATAATATCACACGTTAAAAGATTTATCTTTACTTCTTTTTGCCAATTAGAATGTAAAAGGTATCCGAATTATATAAAATATTTACTTTAATAATTCTCATAATCATTCATTTTTAAATAATTCATTGGTCGTGCATCGCACTGGAACATAGTTTCGAAAGTAAGGGTTTGCATTTTTTGCACATAAATTTTAAAAACACATGTAGCATAAAATTGGTTTTAGAAGTTAACTCTTTGTAGAATAAAGACCACTATTATCCAACAAAACATGGGCTAAGGAACATTTACTAAGGACAGAATATATGGATGCGATCCGATTTCTTAATGGTTTTCTGGGTAATGCATATTGGGCCGTCACCTAATACGATCTACATTCCTTACGGACGGAATATATGCATGTATCAGGCCTGAAAAGTTGTGAATATTTGGCCAGAAGAAATTTGTTGAATTGGGCGGGCCGTTATTCAGTATCTGCACCACTGTCCCATTTACTTCGTCCCACCATTAAAAATGAATTTTATATGAAAAATTATCTAAGAATAATTACAATTTTATTCGATCTTTCAAAAGTAGTTTCATATTTCTTCCATCCCATAAAGATGTTCTCATTTTGATTTTAATAAAATTTAATGGAGAGATATTTTTGTGTTGAATTTTTCAAAAATAGTCTTGATATGATGAATAGATTATTAGTAAAAAGATATGATATGATATGATATTTAAGTTAAGAATTAGTAGGGGTAAAAGTAATTTTTTAATAGAAAGGGGAAGGAGTTTGTGGGACAAGAAAAAGAAGAAAGGGAAAGGAGTTTTTGAGACGGGGGGAGTACTTTATTATAACAATTCCAAATTTACTAAAGTTTGTGAATTTTGGGTCGTCTTTAGGTGATTAACGGCGGGTTAACTGAAACGGCTTGTTTTACGCAGCAAAATGAAAGTAGAGATTATTTTTTATGAATTTTTATTTTTTTTATTGAAAATTTCAATTAGATTTTAAAAGTGACTTTCCACCTCTATAATTTCGTTTTCTCTTTTTTAAAGATTAGTCTAACTTTGAATAAAAATAAAAAACAGATAATAAAATATCAAAAGAAATTTATGAAATAAATGAAATAAGGCCGATAATCAATAGAAATGAATGTAAAATTGGTAAGAAATAAAATAAACGTATACAGAGTTGTAGCGGGGGTTTTAACATTTTACGCACCATATAGAGCATTAATGTACAACCTCTTCATATGAGTATCAAACTAGACGAATGCACTGTAACAGAACAAGAGAAGAGACTATATGTTGCATATATAAATTGCTAAGAAAGCATTTTCATAATTTTTGACTCATATGTTACATACATTTGATAAATTTGAGGTCGCCGCCCTCGTGGAGACAGCTAACGAAGCAGAAGAGTTTGAAACAGAATTTGGTGGGGATAGGGGCGCCGATGTGGATGCATGGGGACAGGGAGCATGCATGTGGCCCTGTTCCTGGGAAAGGGGGGCTGGGGTGGGGATACTATATATCCTGTCTGGTTTGGTTAGGCATCTAATTACAAAGATAAGAAATTTGCAGAAATGGGATTATATGGGCAATTTGGGATATTTATGATAATGCAAAGACTATTAAGTATAACAATATATATACAATTTGTGGCAAGTTAATTTAGGGCCAAGGAAGGCATGGAAAGTGCAGAGAGAGTTCTCTTTTAGACATTATTTTTGGCACCCCAAAGTACATTCACTTCAATTGAGGCATGCATGACAATCCACCTTTCACATGCATATTTATCTCTTCTATAATCAAGTTGCCTTAAAGTAAAAAAAAACAAAAAAAAAAGGTGTTTAAATGTATTTAGAATAAATTAATTAATTTTTTTTATTTCTTTTTAGTGCTACAATTTAATTGTCCAATTTTATATTAAAATACAATAAACAAATGAGTTTTAATAATAACTTGTAAACAAATTGTCCTCCTAATTATATAAAGTACAGTAATTTGTTTTTGTATGAGTTAAATCTAAAACAAAACACATTAATTATTACCTCCGACCTTGATTATTTGTTCAGTTTTGAATTTTTACAGTTAAAATCGATGAGTTTTTTCCATTAATTAAACCAAATTGATATTAGATATTGATACAAAAATAATATTTTTAGATATGTTTCATATAATATTTTTTCCAAAATATTATTTTATTTAAATTTTATTTAATTATAGACCAAAATTTTGCATATGATTGACTAAAAAGTCAAACCAAACAAAGACTCACATAGATGTAATATGTTGTATTATGTCACACAAGCTAGGGTGTATTTGGAAAGTGACTTTTTAACCATCTTTTAGCCTTTAAAGAGTTTGACTGACTCTCACTTTTTTTTATCTCTCAAAAGACCAAAATCATTGTTACGTTGGACAAATGAGATTTCCAGTTGGTTGTAATGCTATAATCCATACCCAGGTTGAACACTAAAAAAAAGACCGGTATATTTTTAAAACTCAGTATATTATTAAAAATGGTCAAATGGGACAGCTAAATTCAATTGGAGAAGCAATTAAAAAAAAAGAATGGAGAATATTAGAGCCTAATTAACTACAAACCTAACCCTTAAACTTTTGAAACGGCTTTTTTTCTTTTACTCAAAAACAGAAACCCATAGAACTGAACAGATGCAATGTATATACCATATTGAGATATTTGGTATTGAGATAATGCAACGTGCCACTATGTATGGGTTTGGGTGTTTATAGCATAATATGTCTGAAATGATTTAAATTTGAATAAAATGATTGAATAAATTAGAATATAATATGGATTATTACCTTTATTACTATTAGTTTATTATTACTATTAAACAAAATTGATACTTTAATATTCAATACGTCCCAAAGTAATGCCTCATCCATAACAGTTCATAAATTAGTACTCCGTAATTACAATTGCTTCATCCTTTATTGTAAATTCTTGTTTCATTAATTGTGGCATATGTAATTTCGTAGGGGAAAAAACAGTGGAATATATATAGTGAGGGCCATACATGCATGAGCGTTGTACTACCTCCGTTCCACAAAACCCTTCCGGTTTTGACTTTGGGGGAAAATAAGAAAAGTGTAATTTTGGTTGACTTCCCAATTTTGCCCCTGATGTGATAGGAAAAAGTAAGATGTGATAGTTTGATTATTAGTGAAAAAGTATGATGTGATAGATAGGGTATGAAAAAGTAGGGGTAAAAGTGGTTTTTTAATAGAAAGTGGAAGTGTTTTGTGGAAAGCAAAAAAACGAAAGAGGGAGAGTTTTTTGGAACGGAGGGAGTAGGTTTTAATGTTTTATAATTTTTCCAACACAACTTGGGGCTTGTTTGGGAATAGCGTTAGATATTAGCGTTAGCGTTTTAGATAAAATTTTAACGATGCAGATTATTTTGAAAACGCTAACGCTAGATTGTTTTTTCAAAACACTAACGCTATTCCCAAACAGGCCCTTGATATACTCCAAACATTTTTATATATCAAAGGCTAAACTCCACTATTGGTCCTTCAACTTTATCAATTGTGCACGATTGATCCTTCAAATTGTAAAAGTCCATAAATAGTCCTTCAAATTTATAAGTTATGCACGATTGGTCCTTCATGTTTTAAAAATGCATAAATAGTCCTTCAAGTAAATGTCAGCCGTCCAGATGAGGTCCTTTTGACAGTAAATGTTAAAAGCTAAATGGAATACTAGCTCCATATCATACGGAGTAGTCGTACCTAGTGGAATTTACTCGTATTCTATGAAACTAGTATTTCGTTTAACTTTTAATATTTACTGTCAAAAGGACTTTATATGGAGGGCTGACGTGTACCTGAAGGACTACTTATGGACTTTTGAAACTTGAAGGACCAATGGTGCAAAACTCATAAAGTTGAAGGACTATTTATGAACTTTTAAAACTTGAAAGACCAATCGTGCACAACTAATAAAGTTGAAGGACCAATGGTGGATTTTAGCCTATATCAAATGGCCCTGTACACAGAGACACTTTGCACTTTGGGGCATAGTCGTGAAAATAGATCAAATTTGTCTCAGTTACGTAGTGTATGTGTAATGTACATATACTCCCTCTGTCTAAAAAAGAATGACACAATTACTATTTTGGTCTCTTCGATAACTTTTGTTTGTTTACTCATTTTAGTTGACCATTTGATAAAAAAAATATTTATTTTTGATCGCATCTTGTTTTGTAAATTTCTTGAAGTACTTTTAAACAATATAATTTTTACTTTTTATTTCTCTTCCAGTTTGTAATTAAAATATTTTTAAAAGAGATGATATTTTACACGTTCTTCGAAATGTTGCAAACAAATTGAGACGGACGGAATATCATTTTTCAAAAATTAAAACCCTCAAATAAATACTTCATCCGCTCATCAAGGTTTGTGAACCCTCTCCATGTGCCATTGATACAAAACAACAAAAGTTGTTTTATTTATTTCATCAAATTCTTTCGATTATGTTTGGTTTAAAAAATTTGAAAAAAAAAAGTGAATGAAATAAAATATACTCCGTAATTTTTTTGGTTTGACTAGAGACGGAAAGAAAAGAATAGTGGAAAGAAAAAAAATAAAATGAACTAAGAAGACCAAATTTGTTTGCTCATTTTAGTAAAAATATTATTTTACTGCCTAATTATATTCCTTGAACCAAACATATGGTCAAAAAAACAAAAAAAGATCAACCAAGTATGTAACTTGTGTCCATCCTTATCCAATGTTACCACCTTTGGGCATCACTCTCCCTTCACACTTTATAATCGTGTTTGGAGTTTGGTTATTTTATGGCAACTTTCTTACCTTTTAGTCGTGGGTCAAGATATATATGACTCCCACTTGAAAAACTTATTTGATCCTCATAAATGTATAAATAAATGGCAGCTTAAATGTGTTGTACCTTTGTTGATGAGCATTTGAGTTAGAGGATCAACGGAATAAAAAACGTGAGTTTACATAAATATCCACGTTGTTGTTTAACATTGGTTCAAGGAAGCCTATTGACATTTCCATCATTCAAAGGATGGTATTTTAGAAAATAACATTTGGAATCTCTGAAATGCTTGTAGTCACTTTTAGATTGAATAATTTTTTGGTTCACACGAATCTTTCAGTCAGATACAATCCAGAACATCTAAGAACGAAATATGAAGAAGTTGTAATATGTGATTTTCGAACCTCTACCTGATGATCAAACTTGAAAGAGGCTCAATAGAAGGGGGAAAGGGATGAATAGTTTCTGTTTGTGACTTTCTTCATTGGTCGCGTCTAATTGCGCGAAATAGAGAGACACACTCAGTCGGATTTCGGCAAGTACAAAGTCTGAAAATAAAAAGTTCAAGCGAAGTTTTAATACATTACTTTGTCCAAACGACATAGTCAGGGGCTCTGTCCCTTAGACCCTGGCCCGCAGGAGCTGCCGCAGTGCCGCCCCTAGAACACCGCTCTCGGGGGTGCTGCCCCTGAACCCCCGCCCAAGGGGGCGCTTCACCATTGGAACCCCAAACCCTGTTACATAATAAGGGGTTAAACCCAGAACCCTGTTACAAAATCTAAAAATTAAAAACTAAAAACTAAAAATTTAAAGTTTAAAACTAAAAAATAAAAATACATAATTTAAAATTTAAAATAAAAAATTTAGATTTTAAAGTTTAAAGTTTAAAGTTTAAAGTTTAAAGTTTAATGTTTAAAGTTTAAAGTTTAAAATTTAAAATTTAAAATTTAAAATTTAAAATTTAAAATTTAAAATTTAAAATTTAAAATTTAAATTTTAAAATTTGAAATTTTAGAATAAGAATTTAAAATTTGAAATTTAAAATTCTAAATTTGAAATGTAATCAAAATGAGATATTAAAAAACTAATAATTTAAATTTTTAATTAAAAAAATTTTAAATTTAAAATCAATAACTAAAATTTTAAATTAAAATAAAATAAATAAATAAATAAATTTAATAAAAAATTTAAAACATTCCAATTATAAATAAAGAAATTAATTTTTTAAAATTTTAAACTTAAATATTCAATAAAAAATTTGAAATAAAAAATAAAAATTTAAAAATTTAGAATTTATAAATATTATTTAAATTTATATTTTTAATTATTTAATTTATTCTTTTTAATTTTAAAATTTAAAATTTATTTTTTAAGTTTAAATTTTTTAAATTTTTAACTTTTAAATTTTGTACTTTAGTTTTTAATTTTTATATTTTAAATTTTAAGTGTAAATTTTCCATTTTAATGTTTTAGTTCTTAATTTATCTTTTTAATTTTATTTTTATTTTAAACTTTAAATTTTACAATTTAGTTTTTAAATTTTAAATTTTAAATTTCAATTTTTAAATTTTATATTTTTAACATCACACTAACACAATGAGGTTTTGAATGAGGTTTAAAAGGAGCTAGGAGTTTACTTTGAATTACTCTACTGCGAGAAAATCCCAAAATACAGTTCTATATCAATTCTATTTATAATTTTTTGTACCAAATAAAGAATTTGGAATTACAATATAATTCTATATCAATTCCCTAATTATACCAAACAAAAGATTTAGAATTGAGTTACTTTCCCCTTCCCATTTTATAACGCCTGTTTCGGTTTACGATGTTTGACTGAAACTATTTTCAAACCATTTTATATGACAAATGTTATAGAATTAAAAAATAAAAATTACATATTAAAAAATTACATTAAAAGATCTACAAAACTAGTTGTGACAATAATACTTTATTTTATCAAATTGCTAACGAAAATAAAGAAAGAAAGTGAATGAAGTTTGACCTTGTGAATAGTAAACATGCATTATAATTTGGGACGGATGAAGTATAATTCAATTTTATCGAATTCAGTTCTATAGAATTACAATGTTCCCCTTGCTAATCAACATTAGAAATTTCGCCCACTAAACATCATTTGCTTTAGCCAAGGGGAAAAGATATAATTTTGAATTTATAAATAATTTGGAGGTACTTTAGGTGAGAAAATTAAATAAAATTATTATATGTATTCTTTTCAAAATAACGACCAATTGCTAAGCTGGTTTTCAAGGTGTTACACTCCAGGTGGAGTTACATCTATTTGAGTTTGAGCTTGAGGTATCGGTTCACAGGCGCCGAGTGGGGTAATCTATTTGGTGTATTGCGACACTTCTGAGCTCATGTGAAACATTTTATTTTTGTTTCTGTTTTGGTGATAGACGTGTCCTAGGTTGGACTTTTGGTAGATGTGGTACATCAGGTCACTTATGGGAGAAAATTTAATATCTTTGCATATCTGATACCGGTGCATCTGTTGTACGTTTTCTGGGGAGATTCAAGTCAAGATGTAGATTTGTTAAAAAAATATCTTGAATTTGTTTTCTAGATCTATTAGGATTAAGTCAAGGATTAGATTTATCATTCCTATTTCCCATCTCTATATATATATAGTCTATATATGTACTCCTCAATCTATGATCTCTCAATCTATGAGAGTAAATCTCAATTCGTGAGAGAAAATCTCAATCTGTGAATAAATCTCAATGTGAAATCTTTAGTCTCTTGAGAAAAATCTGATCAATAAAGTTTTTTCTTTTCTTTCATGAAGGTTAATACGTAATACATTATTAATAAACCATGTTAAATCTCTGTCTTCTTCGTGATAGTTGATAGTTTACGTTCTATGATGAGTAACGAAAATAGACTAAGAAAGTAAATGAAATTAGATCATGTGAAATTTCATTTGGGACGACATGATCACTAATATAATTAAGGTACAACACATATATATGTATTTGACATGCATGAACATATGGTAGCTAGCTTATTATTAGTCTTAAAATTGACATGCAGAACTCATTGATGAAGATGGAGATCCTCATGCTCCAAACGACAAAATTGTTGAAGTGGTGCACCAAATTAAAAGGCATGCAGGCTCATCATCAACACAATGTTTGATCCAAAAATGACTTAGGATGGTGCACCAAGGAAACCCAAAGAGGAAACCATTTTGTCATCTAATCTTGTACCGCGCCACGCGCCCCACCTAAAGGCAAACCAAATTTTGGGGGTTTACTTCAAACCATGAAACTCGTGATGATGTATATCGTTATCTACTCCCTCCTCTCATCTCTTGTGTGTATATTCTTTCTTCTTCTTTTTCTTATGTTCACATTTGTAGGTGTCCTCACATGCCTATGCATATATATAGGTAGGGTCTCTTCTTCTATACTCCATTCGTCCCGCAAAACCTTTCTGATTTTGAGTTTTAAAGAATTTATGAGGAGTATATTTTGGTATTGAGTTTCCAAAAATGCCCTTAAATGTGATGGATAGATAAATAGTAAAAAAATGTAATGTGATAGGTAGGTTAAGATTTAGTAGCTGGTTAAAAATGACTTTTGATTTGAAATGAGAAAGGTTTTTTGAGACATATGAAAAATGAAAGAAGAAAGATTTTGTGGAACCGAGAGAAAAAAAACTGTGTTTGTCCGGTGAATTTTTTTTTCTTCATCTTTGTCTAAATTTTGGTATGTGTATCTAAATTTTGTTGCATCTAGTTTTTCTAAAGAAAAAAAAAGATTGTGTGCATGGCTTGTTTTCTACGACCAAAAAAAGAAATATTTGCACTAAATAGCACTAAAACTTAAGTTATTTTCCTAAATAATACTTAAATTGTTTTATTCTCTAAATAGCACTTTATAATGTCCATAATGTCCATTGATGGTGAATATCTGCTTGAATAATGACTAATGTATAATGACTAAAAGTGCTACATTGGGAAGAAAAACATATGTAGTGCTATTTAGAGAAAGTCATTATGTTTTAGTGCTATTTAAGTAAATTCCTCGAAAATAAATTACTACCGTTCTTGAGTATTTTGGGATCATTCTTTTTTAATCTTTGACCTATAATTAACTAAAATAATATATTGTATATCAATTAGAAAAAATAAAATTTTGGAAAAGATTTATAAATTAAATCTAATAAAGTTATTTTGTATCAATATCTAATACCCTCTCCGTTCCAACAACTATTTCCCTTTTATTTCTCTCGTCCCACAAACTTCTTTCTTTTTCTATTAAAAAATGACTTTTACCCTACGAATTCCTAATTACCTAATTATCACATCATACCTTTTTACTAATAATGTATCCATTACATTATAATTTTACATATCACATCAAAAGTATTTTTGAAAAATCAACACAATAATATTTCTCCTTAAATGTTTTAAAAGTCAAAATGTGAATATCTTTATGAAACGGAGAAAGTTTCAGTTTTATTTAATTTGGGGTCATATTTTGTTAATTTTGACAGGAAAAAATGAAAAGTAGACATGGACTATAAAAAATACGGAGTAAAAGTTCACTTCTTCATTGTATACACTCAAATACTCAATATTGATCGGGTCAACAATTTATTAGTATGTTCTTTCAAGAACCTAAAGAGATGTACGTAGTAACCATTTGTATATAGATTCCAGATCTACTTTCCAGCTCAAAAACATAAATTAATGGATAGGGTTTCACTCTTGTGTATAAGATAGTAGTATTTTCTTTTGTTTTTTGTTATTCTAATTACAATAACTATTTGACCAATGGTATCATAATAATTATCATAGAAATTGGGTGGCCTGGTGCAGATCGGAGTGCACGCTTCGTTGAGTTTGTTATGATAAAACTCTCGTTAAGGGTTCTAAATGAGTTCTAAGGGGGCATCGCCCCCTTTGGCGGGGTTCAGGAGCAGCGCTTCCGAGGAGGGCTAAAGGCGCGGCAGCCCCTGCAGGGTCGCAGGGTCGAAGGGGCAGAGCCCCTGGCTGGGGTCGAGATTGGTTAAAGAGTTTTCCGGAATTTTTCGGAATTTTTATTTCGGACAAAGTGTTGTGTTAAAAATTCACTTGAATTTTTTACTTCAGAACTTTGGTTTTTCAGATGAATGCGACTTCTAAATCTTTCGAACGACTAGAAGCAAATTTAGAGAAAAGACGTGACTTTATCTCATCCTTCCTTCCACGTCTATAAGAATCCGTGAAAAATTAAACTTTGGTCGAGTATAAGAAGTTCGAAAATTCACAATCAATTTATACATATTCTTGTCAAAAATTTGAATGTTATATGATTGATCTTTGATTACAACAACAACAACAATCCAGGTGAAATCCCACAACAGTAGGGTCTGGGGAGAGTGTGTGTACGCAGACCTTGCCCCTACTCGGAAGTAGGAAGGCTGTTTCCAAGAGACCCCCGGCTCCACCTGCACAAAAATATGGAAGGAAACACAGTATAACACAGATAAAGCACCAAGTACAAGCAATAACAGAAGATTCCAAACGAGTACAACTCACTACAAAACAACCTCTACAACACCAAGCTCCTATCCAGCTACTCTGATTCTAGTTTTCCAAAGGTTTCTATCTAGGGCCATATCCTCAGTCAGGTTGAGAAGTCCTAAATCCTGCCTAATCACTTCCTTCCAATTCTTCCTAGGTCTACCCCTTCCCCTTTGATCTTTGATTGAATATCCAAAATAATAAATTCGAAAGTGCTACACGACTCTCTGATTAATCCGTGTTATCTTCGATTTTCCCAACATTTAACACTACTTAGGAAAACGAGTCTAGACTCACAATCTCTTATAGCTAGCTCACATAACTTGTGGCTTCTTAATCTCTTATAACCTACATTCAAATAACAAGGAAGAATCAAACCTGGATCGGGCTTGCTCCGATACCATATAAATTTCTAGAAGCCCGAGAACAAAATGGAGAGTGTCGGCTAAAATTAACCATTTTGAAATAAAGTCGGAATCTACTATACATTTTGACCCAAAAACTTAAGTTGATAGGTAAGGCTTCATTCTTTTATACATGTAAATAATATTTTCTTTGATTTCAAATGTGGGAACTCCAACAAACACTGCTACAAAAACGAACAAATAAATCACCCTATTTGCATCGGTTAGCAGAATAAACGATTTAATAGGTCAAAAAAATTTGCCAACCCTTTAGTATCTAAATCAGTTATACCTATAACCGATGCAAAAGGGTAGTATTTGCATCGATTATTAGGTATACCCAATTTAAATACTAAAAGTCTTTTGCATCGGTTATACCTAATAACTGATGCAAAAGGGTATTTGTAACTATGTTTCAAAATAAATCTATTGATATTAATTATATGATATTTCAATCTATTTTTCTATAATTTGTAGTCAATATTTTAAAAATTTGACAAAAAGTCTCAATTGGAAGAATTTTTTTGAACATATGGAGTACTAAATATGGGCTCAATAAAAAAGCATGACACACAAGAAAGAGGTAATTTTTTGAAATAAAAAAAGCTTTAGTTATTTTATCAAAAGTATAAAAAAAATTAAAAAATGAAATATTTTCCAACACTTCCCTGTTTTTTTAACGCCCTCCAATATTTTCTAAACCAATTTCTTCCAATACTTTCAATTTCTTTCAGCGAAAAATAATTCAATAAAACAATAATTAATAAAACAATGATCGAGAAAAGTAATTACTAATTCTCTGTGAAAAGTAAAATAACTTGAAATAATTAAATGCTCCTTCCGCCCCAAAAAATATATTTCCTTTCTTTTTTCACTCGTCCCAAAAAACTTTTTTCATTTTTATTAAAAAGTCACTTTTACTTATACTAACTCTTATTCTACCTATCATATCACACTTTTTACTATTAATCCACCTATCAAATATACTTTTATCATCTAAGGGCATTTTTAGAAAATCCATACCATAATACACTGCAATTAAATCATTTAAAAGTCAAAATTAGAAAAGATTTTGTGGGACAGAGGAAGTAATAATTATAAAAATAATATTTATCCATGAAAAGTAAAATAATAAGAAGTAATTAAATGAAACACTCTAATAATTAACAGAAGAATGATAAAACAATTTGAAAGGAGTGAAGTAGGGTATCCTATGTAAGTTTGGATTGAGATTGAGACTATTTTGCAATTTTGGAAAAGGGGGACATATTAACTAAGTTTGTGTATTATTATTGTATTATTATAAGTAAATAAAGAAAATAAAGTTCAACTGCAGAAGTAGTAATTGAGAAGATAATTATAAGACGGGGTTATTTGTTAGAGGAATTTACTTAAATAGCACTAAAACATAATGACTTTCTCTAAATAGCACCACATATGTTTTTCTTCTCAATGTAGCACTTTTAGTCATTATACATTAGTCATTATTCAAGTAAATATTTTCCATCATTAGATATTATGGACATTATTAAGTGCTATTTAGAAAAATGACTTAAGTTTTAGTGTTATTTAGTGCAAATATTTCTATTTGTTAATGAAATTTCCACAACCACAACAATGCAATTCCAGAGATATATATCACAAAAATAACACAACAGAAACATTGTTGGAAAGTGTGTTGTAGCTTGAGGTTAGAACACAGAAGATGCTACACCACCTTTCCCAATAGTCACATACACAAACAGAAAGCACGCAAAGACACAGTAATTTGTTTATGCAGTTCGAAGCAGTATCTCCTACATCTGCGAGGCCCACATCCGTGTAATAGCCTTTCCCCTAGATCAACGTAAGAATTACACTATCAAACTTCAACAGACCCTTCTAATGAATTTGATTTGTCTACTTACGTGATCAGACACGACTCTCGAGTTGTGTCTCTTCAGGCCTATTACACCTTCTTCTTGCTCTGCACGAAAGATGTGTCTCTGACCCTTACTCAGCTTTCTAGGATTCAACAGCTGAACAATCCTTAGAGAAGATTCAGGGTTAATCTTCTCATGCAACTCTCTCATAGATGTGTGTGTTTCGACCAAGCCTTACTCGTGATCTCTCTCTTTAAGATGTATGATTATTAATCTGCACATCCACCTCTCTCATTCATGGATGGCTCTTTATATATATTACTCACATAACCCTAGTGGAATTAATCTGGACTCTCTGGTGATAAGCTTGGTTACCTGACAATCCTAGTGCGCCATTACTTCTTTCGTAGGATGCATTTGCTAATCATCACGTGGCCAGAAGATACCCATTTAGTGTAGATCCTCTTGATGCTAGACTCCTCACATAACCCAAGTGATATATAAGTCCTAAGTAGTGAGAGTCCTTGTGTGAGGACTCTAGAACATGAAAACTTTGACAAGGATGACTGACAAGATGCTACAGCCCTTGACACAACACAGACATGCTAACACTTAAATTACACCAACGTGAACTATTTGGGGCTAACAGTTAATGTATCAAATAAGTGGATGGAGTATTCTGTTTTACTCCCTCCGTCCTAAAAATAACTTCTCATTTGATTTTCTACGGTATCCAATGCGATACTTAGACCATCAATATCTCAATTTTTATATAAATATATTGATAAAAATTATATAATTCAAAACTATGTTTCAAAATGAATCTATTGTTAATAAATTTATAAGAAAATTCAATATATTTTTTCCGTAATATACGGTCAAAGTTTAAAAATTTTGGCTGCAAATGTTAAATTGTGAAGTTAATTTTAGGAGGGAAGGAATAATGTTTTAGTTAAATGCAGGATAGATATTGAAGATAGAGATTAGACAACATTAATTACTTGTCAACAACAAACAACAACAACAACCCAGTTAAATCCCACAAGAGTAGGGTCTGGGGAAGGTGTGTGTACGCAGACCTTGCCCCTACTCGAATGTAGAGAGGCTGTTTCCAAAGAGACCCCCGGCTCAACGTCGAAAGTTGCATTGCTTGACTAACTGCTACTTCATTAATTAAAGAAGCGCAGACAGTTTAGAGATCCATTTTGATTTATTTTTACTTGTCAAGGAACGGAAAATATTTGAAATAAGTAAAATTCTAGAAGTGTCATTTACTTTTCACTCTCTTTTGGAGACCCTAGCTAGAACTCCCTAGAAGGAAGTGTGTCATTTGCTTTTGAATGGAGTATAGTGTGTTATTTAATTGTACTGAAAAGAAAAAAAAACAAGTGGCTCAAGGTGGGAGATGGGGAGGATCATTGGCGGGGGAGGCTTGCTTGATCAATGTGATTTTTCCAAGGTCATGTTTTCTTTAGATTTATTTTTATTAGTTACTTATTTCTATTAAAATCAATACAAATAAGATCAAATGAGATCCTAAATAAATTTGAATGTAGCTATATCGATAGGAATGAAAATTTATTCAGATCAAATCAGAATCATTTAGATCAAGTGGAAAAAAACATGGCCTAACTCTAACTCTCTATCTTTAAAATAACTTTGCTTTTCTTTCTTTCTCGAAATGTCTAAATATCAATTTCACATATATCGATTTTACTTCTTGAATATTTTTCTTAATTCTTGTGAAATCAAATTGTCAAGTTGTTTTAAAGACAGGAGAGTATATATACTCCCATCGTCCAAAAATAAATCACACTGTTCACTGTTTAAAAGTTTGTAAAATATTCGACTTAATGAGTATTCAAATATATAAGTTTATTTTTAGTTTCCAAACAAATTTTTCAATAAAATAGATAAAAAATTATACATCATTTCATTCAACGTAAATTATAAGTAAAATATTTTGTGACAGAGAAATACACAGTATATTTTTAAAAAAAAAAAAAGAATGGAAAAAACAAAAGAAAAAACCGTGGGCAGGTAAATAAGTACGTCCAAGTTGTGATGAATGGATAAAAAGTGTGTTGTCCCATGGCGGAGAGCTATGGGGTGACGCCGCGTGTCCACTAAGTTTGTTGATCCCATGTGACTCCCTTTGACGTGGCTCCACATTTGTCTCTCCCCGCCTTTATTTGCTCATCCCTCCCTCACCTCATCCTATAAGAAAAATGTTATGGGTACACCAAAGATGTACCTTAAATATTCCTCATCATCTCCTTGTCTACTAAAAAAAAGCAAAAAAATTTTAAAAAAATAAGTAAATAAAAATCAAATAAAATATGTGGAAGAAAAGAGAGTAATGTACATATGGGGTACACCTTTTGATGTACCCCTATCATTACTCCATCCTATAATACCCATTTCTCATTTGATTTTCACATTTCTATGTTCACTAATGTTAGGGTGTAAAATTTTATTACAATCCATTTAGCATCCCATTCCTCATATAATTTTCTTTCTTTGTTAGGCTTAGTTACATTTTTTAAATTATATATTGACTCTGTTTTCAAAAATATTTTCTCTTTCACTTTTACCACCTTCAACAAAACACTTCCTCTATCTATTAAAAAACCACATTTATCCTTACTTTTTTTCATATCCTACCTATGACATCATACTTTTTCTCTAATAATTTATCCATCACATCAAGAACAAAATTGGAAGTCAACTATAATTTAACACTTTTTTATTTTTATATTTGGTCAAATCGGAAAGTCTTTTTTAGAACGGATGGAGTAGTAGAATATGTATAGTTATGATTTGTGCAGATGAGAGCAAAATTAAACGAACCGCACAACATTTTCTAAAAGGAAAGTCTAAGAGAATATAGTTTTAATTGGTTCATATTAAAATATACTACTCCGTAGTTTTCATCTATCAAATTTTTATAAGTTATATTTTTATAAAATTATATCTAATTTGTAGTTAAAAAGATTACAAAAGTTTAACCAAGATTGAGACCGAAGTATTTCATCTTCAGACCATTACACTAAAATAAAAAGAAATATTCTCAAAGTACATTCTTTTCCTTATTATTTCTTGTTATCCTGTTATATTGTGTTCTCTACCATATTTTTTGTGCAGGTTGAGCCGGGGGTCTCTTGGAAACAGCCTCCCTACTTTCAAATAGGGGCACGGTCTGCGTACACACACCCTCCCCAGACCCTACTGTAGTGGGATTCAATTGGGTTGTTGTTGTTGTTGTTGTATGTTCAAAGAATTAAAGATTAAAGTGAATTATTATAAAATCAAGTTAACCAAAAAGACAAATAATGTATGTTTAAAAAAATTGTAAAAATATTACTCCCTCCGTCCTAAAACTTTCTTCCCAGTTTGACTTTTCCCCATTTTTAATTTTTGGTTTTGACTTCAAATTTTACCCTCCTTAAAAAAGATTTTTTGCAAATTTTTTTCTACAATCATTCAAAATATAGAGTTAGAAGATAATTGGTGTAAATACATGAGGGTATTAATGTCATTTGTTATCTTTTTTTTTCTAATAGGAAGGTAGTTTTAGGACGGAGAAAAAAAGGAAATGGGAAGAAAGTTTTAGGACAGAGGGAGTACATAGTAATAAAGATATGGAAGAAAAGAAAAATAGAGTAGCCCAAGTTACATACGTCCCATAATATTTGGGTTTGAAAAATTGTAAAACCCATTTTGCAATTAGAAATGAAGTACTCCCTCCGTCCCAAAAAATCTTTCCTGTTTCATTTTTTGTGCATCTCATAAAATACTTCTACCGACATCTAAAATGCCTAAAATTTACAACATTTCTTCTTTATTGTGGGTAGCAGTTATTTTGAAAGTTTTTTTGGCATTCAAGATGGGATCGAAGTGTTTTATGGGACACGCAAAAAATGAAACAGGAAAGACTTTTTTGGACGGAGGGAGTATTATTTGGGAGATGCACAACTCTAAAACTAAACATATGTAGTACGGAGTACTTTGGAGATGCTTTTACTTCGTATAAAATAGAGTTGATGGGGACAATATATGTACTCCCAATCTACGACCATTAAATAATGTCACAATTTGATTGGAGAAACACTTTAACCACTAATACGCAAAGTTCTATTTAATCGAGTTACATAAATCTAATACTCCCTCCGTCCTCAATTTGATTACAAATTGCGGGTTACGGAGTAAAATTTCATACTTTTTGAAATCATTTTATTTATAAATTAGTATATCAATAAAATATAAAAATTACATATTAAAAAACTATGTCGAAAGTTCTACGAAACAAGAGATGACAAGAATATTTTATTTTATCAAATACTTAATGAAATTGCGTAAACAAACAAAAGTTATCGAGAGAAGATAGACAAAAATTGCAATCCATTTAGAGACGGAGGGAGTATATCATATAGCTATAGTTTTTTTTAGTGCTATTAGCTCTGCTACAATATATTACTTCCTCCGTCCCAATTCAAAAAGTCGTTCACGTTTAAAAAAATCGTGTCTCCGTCCTAAAATATTTGCCACACTTCCTTTTTCAGCAGTCGCGGAAACTTTTGTTTATTTCTATATTTTCATTGGTTATTTGATAAAATAAAATATTCTTGACACCTTTTATTTCGAAGAACTTTTCATGTAATTTTTTGATATGTAAATTTTATTTTTTATTTCTATACCAATATGTAAATAAAATGAATTGAAAAAATTTGATATTTTGCCAATATTTGATACCAATATTTATACAAACATATTTTTTCAACTTACTCAAAAAACAATGACGAGTCAACATCGTGTGAGGGGAGTTTCCATTCATGAGAGCTCTAACGATTAACGATGTCAGTGGACTACAAGGTTTTCTTGCCAAACGTTATAATTTTATTGAGCTATAAATGTTTAAAAATACTCTGTAATTTGTTAGTTTAGTGGTTGAATTAATGGAATTAAAATATCATACCAGCCAGACCCAACTAATTTTTATAGGAAGAGAAGCAAAAACTAAATTAATCTTGTAATTTATTTTTGTCTAATTAAGTAGAAATTATCATTTTGCACTAAAAAAATGTTTGTGCAGTGCCCTCTACCCTCGGACACTCATATTGTTCTTTCACATATTGTTTGAAGGTGTCTCACTTACCACATACTAATTCTGTTGTAGTATATTTATCTAGTTTGACTTTTTTGAGTCAAGAAAGACAAACTTTATACCTCAATTAAATAAAAACTATAATGTATATTAGTATAAGAATAATTTAATTAGATTTATTTTTTGAAAACTTTCAGAATTTCATTTCATTGTATTAATATGGAATAGAATTTGAGAGTAATTGATGATTAAAATTTGTTCAGTTTGACCCGAAAAAGTCAAACTGTGTGAATACACTCGGACGGAGAAAGTATCTCTGTTCTAAAGTGTTTATTCATTTTTAAATTTTTGTTGTGATAATTAGTAAATTTTGGCCGGAGATTAAATAAAATTTATATTAAAGTTTAACACAAGAATAGTTTTACTACATATTTAATTATCCGTAAAATATTTTCAAAATATTGTATTATCTAATTAATATACCATGTAATATTTACTCCCTCCGTGCACAAATAAATTTCCCGTTCACTATTTACAGGCCAAACTTTATTCACTTTGTTGGCCTATTTTCGTCACCCATTTGATAAAATAATATAGTCATGTCACCTCTAGTTTTGTAGATCTTTTGATATAGTTTTTTTAATATGTAATTTTTATTTTTAAATTTTACACCATTTTTCATAAAAAATGATTTGAAAATAAATTCAGTCAAACATCGTAAAGCGTAACGAAAAGTTTATTTGTGGACTGAGGGAGTATTTGATTATAAATCTAAAATCGATCATGTTTGACTGTAAAAAGTCATAACTATGAGAAAGACTGAGCACACTTTTTTATCGATTCGTCGTTGAGAAGGATGAGCCCCCTCAGACCTGGCCAGACACGACAACAGATAGTCACTGATAGGAGGTAAATTAGATTTTGATCGCAGATTAGTAACGAATAATAAAACCCACGTCTGATAATTACAGAAGCCCTATATTTGATATAGTTAATGTTAAATATATTCTTACTATATTTAATATTAATATATATTGGTAGCTACCATATTTATATGAGAAATTTACCTAAATAGGACTAAAACATAATGACTTTCCCAATATAGGACCATTTGTTTTTATTTCCCAATGTAGGACTTTTGGTCATTAACAAGTAGTCATTAATCAAGTAATTGTCTAGCATTACTGGACATTATTCCTCCCACGAGGTCATTATTTAGTCCTATTTAGGGAATAAAAAAGTTTAAGTCCTACATTAGGAAAGTCATTATGTTTTAGTTCTATTTAGTGCAAATTTCACTATTTATATAGGGTGTATTAATTATTGTTTCCTATTGTCATTAGGAAATCCTTGTATATATACACATGTAATCTCCCATAATAATTTAATAGAAAATATTCATTCTTCATGGTATCGGAGCCCTAATTTCTCACGGCTTCCCTCTTCCACTCTCCCTCTTGATTTTCGGCCAGCACCCCCCCTCTTCACCGCCGGCTTCTCTCCTCCTCCGGAAACCATGGCCAACTCCGCCTCCTCTGGCAAAGTCACCTCAAACAATGAAACCTCCTCTCCAAATAATTCACCCCATCTAGCCTTCACCACCATATCCAACATCAAACTTCATATCCCTGTACAACTCAGTCTCTCAGAATCAAATTACAAAAAGTGGAGTCGATTATTTCATCTCTTGATCCTCCGCTTAAATCTCAAAGGTTCCATCGACGGCACGACCATCGCCTCCTCCGTAGACGATGCTGAATGGTATCAATTTGATTCCCTAATTCAGGGATGGATCCTATCCACAATCACGGATGAGGTCTCCGACCTTGTGCTCGCCAACAATCTCTCTGCTCATGCCCTATGGACGGAAATCTACAATCTTCTTCACGACAACAATTAAGCATGCCCAGGCAATGCAACTGGAGCACCGATTCCGTACAACTGTGAAGGGCCAACTCTCCATCAACGAATATTGTCGCCTTCTCAAGAACCTCTCCGAGTATCTTGACGATGTGGATGCCCCTGTCACCGAACATGCTCTTGTACTCCAGGTTCTTCAAGGCCTCCCACACGACATCCGAAGTCAAGTTCAATTTCTGCAATATCAAAATCCACTCCCGACGTTCTTGGAAGTTCGGTCCGCCTTGCTCCTCGTTGAACAGCAACAAACCGACGCCGTATATGGTGCCGGCGCGCCGTCCACAGCCCTTCTCAGCACCGGCGGCGGCGGCGGACAAGCGGGCAGCAGACACCGACATGACCGAGGCAGCGGCTACGGCGGATCTGGGAGCAACGGTAGCGGCGGATTTGGCAACGGCTCTGGCGGGCGCGGTAGGACCTCCGGCGGTGGTAGTGGAGGCGGCAACCGCGGCGGCGGTCAAGGTTGTGGCGGTGGCGGCAATCAGCGGCAACCCTCGGACCCGAATCCCTGGACATTTCCCTCCCCTTCCCCCGGGTTACTTGGGCCAGGGCCCTAACCGCCCCACCCCCTAGCCCAAGCCCACCTTCACCAAAGCCCATATTTACCCAACCCCTCCTACCCAACACCCGGCCCAATTCACCCAACCCCAAACCCATTCCCCCACTACCCAACCCAGCCCTCCCCAGACCCGAATCTCACCCCCCCAGCTAGGGGTGTAAACGAACCGAATCGAAGCGAATACTGATATATTTGAATTTGTATTTGTTTAATTTTTTCGAATACGAATCTGAACCCGAGTATGAGACAAATTCAAAATAAGTATTTGATTAATATTCGAATAGTTATCGAATCATAAACGAATATTTGAATAATCATACTATGTAATTTATATGATGGACCAACATCAATTTGTAATTTAACTTACGATACTCTTTATACTATACTATATTCCGTATATAAAAACATTAATACATCTGCACCTTACACAAATTATATTTTATAAAATATAACTATTAAAAATCATATGCTTTAGATTTTCGTGTTACGTTAATTTATTGAATTCTTAGTATTTTAAATACACTTTATACTATATTACTTTGCTTGACTTTTGATGTTGAAAACATGGTCTGTGTATATATACATATATTCGAATATTCGAATATCATCCGAATCGAATATATCCCTATTTGTATTTGTATTTGATTAATATTCGAATCAAAAATAATATTTGAATTTGAATTTGTATTTGAATAACGCGAATTCGAATCATCATATTCGAATACAAATCGCGAATCGAATTTAAAATATTTGATTTGTTTACATCCCTA